ACTGGAGCATCTCTGCTGCGAGGAGAGGCTGAGGGAGCTGGGCTTGTTCAGCCTGGAGAAGAGAAGGCTGAGAGGGGACCTTCGAAATGCCTCTAAATATCTGCAGGGTGGGGGTCAGGAGGACGGGGCCAGGCTCTGTCCAGTGGTGCCCAGCGACAGGACAAGGGGCAGCGGGCACAAACTGAAGCAGAGGAAGCTCCAGCTGAACCCGAGGAAGAACTTCTTCCCTCTGAGGGTGACGGAGCCCTGGCCCAGGCTGCCCAGGGGGGCTGTGGAGTCTCCTTCTCTGGAGATATTCCAGACCCGCCTGGACGCGGTGCTGTGCAGCCTGCTGTGGGTGACCCTGCTTGGGCAGGGGGTTGGGCTGGATGATCCCCAGATGTCTCTTCCAACCCCTGCCATTCTGTGATATTTATGGAGGGGGAAACTGAGGCACTCGGAACTGGGTGTTACTCTCCAGGGCCATCAGCAGGTCTGTTGGGATGGAAAGCTGAGGTCACCCATCTTGTAGGACTTAGCCTAGGAACACACAGTGCGCTGCTGAAATGTGAATGGTGGCCAAGGTACAGCTGGCAGAGTGTTGGTGGGCAGTGGTGGGACAACCCTTCCTTCTGCTCTGGCTTCATTGTATCCCAAGTTTGATGGGTGGGAGGAAGAAATACGAGGGCTTCCAAGTATTCAGCTACTCAGGCCACCGCTTTACCGTCCGTCTGTTTTAATCCAAGCTCAAAGTGTGCGGCCGTGTATCTGCCGTATGTTGAAGAAGTGTTGACCAAAACAGCGTTGTGGGGATGTGCGTTGGGTGTTTTGGCCCATGAGCAGCATTAGGAGGTTGGCTCTGCTTTTGCTCAAGGGACTGTCGGAAGCATTCTGCCTTTGTTTGGCACTGAGGTAAAGCAGGCCCTGAAGCAGGTGGAGGAAGCCTGAGGCTTTATCGCGCCCTTCCACAAAGGGATATCAGAGATGAAGTTACAGGGGAAGTGTGTGCTCTGTTAAGCGTGAGCACCTTGCTCAGTTAAGAAGTGAATCTTCTGAGTGCAGTGGAGTCTCTGTAAAGAGAAAGCCTTGTCCAGAAAGCCTCCGCCGGACAGAATCTCTGACGACGGCTGGTGTTTAAAGGAATCTGCTTGTGTTCACCGCCTAAAAAGGGAGACTGGTCTCCAGCTTTCAGTTAGGTGTGAATGGGGGTGAAGTCGGGCAAAGTGAGGGAGTGGATCCCCTCTTTTTTTTCAGGCCTGCAGCATTTTAGTCAAGCGCTCAGCATCTGTTACTGTGTGAGAGTTTCCCATGGAGAACATTGCAAAATTAGCAATGTATCCCTCACTTTTAAAATCTGGGAAATCAGCCTCTCTGTGGGATGGAGGGAGGACTGTAAATTGCCCATCTCTGCTGTGAACTCCTTGGTGATGCACTGATATCTTACGGAAACAGGGTGCCTCCCATGCTGCGACAAGGCTGCTGGGCTTACAGGAGTTCAAAGCTGCCAGTGTTGTAAAAATAAATCCCGATGCTCCCCAGAAGAACGCTCGCTTTCTAACGCTGGAAGTAAGTGAACGTGTTCTCTCTTGATTCTTTTCTTCACGCAGGGCTCTCACCAGGCTTGCTGCTCTCTTAAAGAGCTGGATGTGTTCGACAGAGCACGTGAAATTAAAGTGGATCCTGACAAACCTCTAGAAGGTGTTCGGCTAGCTGCGCTGCAGGTAACAGCACCTTTGCACCCCTGAGGAGGAGAGCGGGGCAGAGCGCAGCGCTGGGCAGCGTCTCGTGGTCAGTGCCTGCCATTCTCCAGCAGGACCGTTACCGGTCCTGAGCCGCCTGAGGTTGTGCGTGTGAGGATGTCTCTGCCTCTTTGGCAAATGGCAAAGGTGCAGGTAGGGTTTGGGGAAATTAATGTTTCTGCAGAGCAACAGCTGTTTCACTGTCGTCGTATTCTTACTCCCCAAAAGACATGAGGTGGCCTTGCCTCGGGGTGCCTTCCGTTTATCACCAGATGGACGTGTGACAGACTTGCCTCAGACCTACGTTTGGTCACTGGCGTTTCTGTGTAGCTCATTTGTGGACATGCACTGTAGACCAATAGATATGTCTTGCCATCTGTATCTTAAATAAGATCGTGTCTGGAATTTTGCTGTACTGGAGGGGATTCATCTGCAAGCACTACGTGATCAACAGTGCTGACTATAGCAAATAAGGTGACTGACCACATGGAGACCTATGGGACAGTAAGAGTATTTCTTTGGTGTAAAATGAGCCCACCTGTTTTTAATGGGAGAACTTATTTTGTTACACAGGCAAGGAAGACTTTGTTGGTTCCAACACCACGTCTGAGAACTGGGCTGTTCAATAAGATTGTTCCACCTTCAGGTGCAACTAAGGAGATCCTGCGAGTATGTGCTACGTCTCAGGTAGGAATGAAAAATGGGGGAGGCCTAAATTAACTTGTAGAAGAGTGTTGTGTTGTGGTAGTCCAGCTAGAGGTCGGAAAACAAGGTGCTACCTAAAGCACTGTTCTGCTAGTATGCTATTCCTGGTTTTGTGTGCACATCCACCATTAATATTTTGTTGTTGTTGCTGTTACTTAAATAATGAGGAAGTTTAGTCTTTTTGCTATATTTTATTAGCAGAATGGTATCGCTAATTTATGAATGCTATTTGGAACATTATCAGCGACTTCATAGGTGACGTATCTTTAGGTTTCTAAGGAATAGTACTCCTATATTCTTCTGCAGTTTTGAGCTAGTGAAACCCTATGAGGAATGTTTTAGTGTTTACAGTTTTTGCATAATTTGGTCAATTAAATATGAGGTTTTACAGACCAGGAAAGATCAGTTCTTTCAGAATCTGAAGGGTCTAAAGAGACGTTCAAATATGAGGTTTTACAGACCAGGAAAGATCAGTTCTTTCAGAATCTAAAGGGTCTAAAGAGCCGTTCCTTCCGCGGTGCGCATCGGCCCCGGGTACAGCCGCCCGCTGGCAGCTTTGGCTGGCGGGGCGCGGCGGGCCCCCGGGGGGCGACCGCCCTGCGC